GAAACTTCATTAAAAAGTTTATCAAAGTAACTCACCCGCCTATGTTGAATATCTTTTTTTAAGAAAAGTACTTTTTGATTTTCATCTTTAATACACTTTACTTGAGTTAAATCTTTACTTTTCTTTTGTCTTTGTTTGGCTAGTTTATACATATAACTTTCACCCTCCTTAGTATCTAATCTATTATAAAGATCATTAAAAGTAAAATTTTTAGCGTCATAGATTATTCTTTTAGACTCCCTGCGGGTCGTTTGATATTTTTCCCAGTTCTCTAAGCTTTTACATTTAAACCAATTTTTATAACATAACTTCTTATATTTTATCTTTTCTTGCACATTATTGTTCCACCACCAACTATTTTTATTGGTAAATACTTTTGCTTTTGATTCTCCGAGCACATCTTTTGCTAATTGTTTAATAGTGTTTGTTACTTTATCCCACATAACATTTACTTCTTCATAAATATCTCAAATTTTGAAATCTTGAATTTTACTCATAAAAATAAATTTATTTGTATCTTTTAATTTTCTCCATCTAATTCTACGATGATGAGTCCTAATATTTTTATTTTACAACTCTTAATTTAAAAATCTAAAACTAATAAAAAGAAAAATGTTAATATAAAGAAAAATGTACAAAATTTGGAGGGGAGAGGATTCCCGTCTATGAAAAACAAAAAATACATTTAACAAACCCTAGGGGTTCCTCCTCCTACAGTACAACTCACGCAAAAAAAAATCATCAAAATTACAGATATACCCAAGCCAAAAGAACAAAACCCAAAAACAAAAGTAAACATGTGTCTGTGTATTAATAACAGTAAAAGAGAAAAAAAATCCACAAAAAGTGTCAGCGAGTAAGTCATAACCCTCTGAAAACACTCCAGTGAGCAGCAAAACCATTTGGAATGTCGGACAATAGAGCAGAGAAACCAAACAACAGGGGACCAGCGGAAACAGTGAGAGCAGGAACAAAGGAGACAAAACCAGGAATGATGCAATCAAAAAACCTGCCAAGAAAAAATAAAAAGCCCGCAATAAGAAAGGTGCAAACCAAACCACCATACAGAAAAGAAAGCCCCCAACGATAAAGCCGAGAAGCATAAATGCTTAAAATCTAACATATGAGGAGACGTCTGAGAGGAGCAGGAGGATATATGTCAACGTAGCACGCCTCCCCTGCATGCCTGACTAACCAATCAACAGAGGAGTTGCCCTCTCTATGAATGAATTTTCAATTTACTTCCAAGTGTCTTTCAACAATTAATGCTAAAATACGTTTAAAAGTGCAAATAATATCCTAGAGGGGAGGAGAGATCCCCAAAAGTATATCATGGAGCATTTTAGAATTGGTTTCCACCTCGATTGTATGAAAATTGAAAGCACTTGTCATCATTAAGGCCAGAAAACCCCCCAGCATTACGTGGCTAAGGGGTTGTCAGCAGCAACAAGAGAGGTAAAGTAACATAAACACTTACCCTCATAATTTCGAAAAATGCCCCCAACCACAACATATTATTGATTCCAACAGCCAT